AAAACAAAACAAAACAGCAAAAACCAGTTACCACTGATCTTAAGAAGATAAACACTGTGAATGATGAAAAAGTTAATAGAGTGGAAACAGCTTCTGGAGATATACAAAAGGAACCTGCACATTTCTTAAAAGGCCTTTCTCTTGAACCTCTGCAGAAACAGCGGACTCCTCAGCAGTGTCATAAAAATGAACCAGTTAATGGTGAGGAAGCAACAATATTAATGGCTCAGCTGTAATACACTGGTGATGTATCAAACTGCCCCCAAAGACCAACAAAGTAAATGTTTTATACAATAAATAAATAAATACAAAGAAGAGCTAAGTATTCAATCTAAAACGTCAGAAGTAGAAAAAAACCAAAATGAAGCAACCCCCCAAAAGGAAAATAGTAACTAATAAAAACCTTAAATAAGTCAAATAAATATAACAATGGGAGTTTAAAGAAAACAAAGAGCTGGTCCTTTAAAATGATGGATGTCACAGATAACCCCCTAGCAAATGAGATAAAGAAGAGTTTAAAAACATACACACACACACACACACACACACACACACACACAGAGAAAGAGAGAGCGAGAGCGAGAGAGAGCGAGAGAGCGAGAGAGCGAGAGAGCGAGAGCGAGAGCGAGAGCGAGAGCGAGAGCGAGAGTGAGAGAGAGCGAGAGAGAGAGAGAGAGAGAGAGGCAGAATGAGAATCTTTCCCAGATCAGGCAGCGTTTCAAAGTAGTTATTGCGGGATATTATGCATAACTGTATAGCAACATATTTTAATATTGATGTGAAGCAGATGCTTCCCTAGCAAAATGTAAATTAACAAAGTTAATACAGGAAAATACAGGTAGAAGAGAATAATGAATGTAGAAGAGACCAGGGAAAAAATGACATAACAGCAAATGCAACCGGAAAGACTCTGAAAGGTAAAAAGGAAAGGCAGACAGTCCACAGACCTCAGGGCCTAAGGAACAACACAGCGGTGAGTTCCGTGGGTTTCATTTTCCCTCCCATATATCACAAACAGGGCACTAGAAAAGCTTATAACTCAGAACCATCAATAGCTACAGACAAAAAAAGCTCTAAGAAAAGCCTGCTCCCCTTAATCAAAGGACCAAGGAAAGGGTGTCCTAACTGAACATACCCATCCTACTGCAGCCAAACACTAATAGAATACACATTCTCTTCAAGCACCTGTGCTACATTCTCCAGGGTCATAAAGCAAACCTTAATAAATTGAAATCATACAGCATATGTTCCCTGATTATAATAGCATCAAACTAGAAATCAATAACAGAAAGGTAACAGGAAAGTCTCCAAACATTTGGAAATTAAACAACACATTTCTATATAATCCATGGATCAAAGAGGAAGTCTCAAGGGAAATTAAAAAGTAATGAATGAAAATCAAAATACAACATATCAAAATTTGCGGGACGCAGATAAAGCAGTGTGGAGAGGGAAATTTATAATGCTAAATGTTTATATTAGAAAAGAATTAAGGTATTAAATCAGTAAGGTAAGCTCCCACCATAAGATACCAGAAAAAGAAGAGCAAAGAAAACCCAAAGCAAATAGAAAGAAAGAAGTAATAGATATAAGAGCAGAAATCAATAAAATTGAAAACAAAAACAATAGAGAAAAATCAATGAAAACAAAAGCTGGTTCTTTGAAAAGACCGATAAAATTGGTAATCCCCTAGCAAGACTGACAAAGATAAAAAGAGATAAGACACAAATTACCAATATCAGAAATGAAACAGGAGATATAACTATAGATCCTGCAGCCATTAAAAGAAAAGTAAGGGAATACCACACACCACTTTATGCACATAAATTCAACAACTTGGATGAAATAGTCCAATTCTTCACAAAACAGAGACTCCCACAACTTACCCACTATTAAATATGAAGATACTCTGAAAAGATATTAAATAGATAACCCGAATAGTCATTTGACTACTACAGAAATTGAAGCCATAATCAAAAGCTTCCAAAAGGAAATTTCCAGGCCCAGATGGTTTCACTGGAGAATTCTATCAAACATTTAAAGAAAAATAACATAATTCTACACAATCTCTTCCAGAAAATAGAAGAGAACACTTTCTAACTCATTTATTGAGATCAGTATTACCCTAATACTAAAACCAGAAAAAGAAAGTACAAAAAAAGAAAACTATAGACCAACATCTCTCACGAACTTAGACACAAAAATCCTCAAAAAAAAAAGCATTAACCAATCAATTCCTGCAATATAAAAAAAGAATTATACACCACAACCAAGTGAGGCTTATTCCAGGAATGTAAAGCTGATTCAATATTCAAAAATCAATAAGGGCATTCCCCCATGTTAACAAGCCAAAGAAGAAAAACCATATAAATTCACACAATATTGACAAAATTCAACACACATTCATGATAAAAGACACATAAATAAATGGAACATAATAGAGAACCTAGAAATAGCCACACAAAAGTATGGCAAATTTATTTTTGACACAGGTACAGAACGAGTCCGTGGAGGAACTACCGTCTTTTTAACAAACGGTGCTTGAGTAATTGGACAGCAAAATAAATGCACCTTGATCTAAGTCTCACACTTTATACAAAACTTAACTCAAAATGTATCATGGACAGCAGGAAGGAGAAATGAACAAATCATCATCACAGTGAAGACTTAATCTCTCCTTTCTCTGTAATAGAACTAGCAGGGAAAAAAAAGTACAAATTTTGTACAACACAATTGACGACTAAACAATTAAATATTATTTTCGAATTATACATGGAACATTTATAAAACAATTCACCAAGGACTAGGCCATGACTCCCCTCATATTTCAAGGAATGAGCTTCATGTGGACATTTTTCTAACCACAGAAAACTAAGGTTAGAAGTCTAGTAAAAAGATAAACTTCTGTAAAGTGAAAGCGCACTTTTAAATAATTCATGAGCAAAAAAAATAATGATCAACTCTTAGAAAACACTTATAATGCACCAAACCTTGTGGGTCTCAGAGTGAACTTTAAGACCTTAACGTTGATATGAGAAAAGAGGAAAGCCTGAAAAATAACAAGCGAATCATCCAACTACATTCAGACAACCGATTCCATCACTGACCACACAGAATTCCCCAACACTCACCCTCCCCGGGTCCCCATCACCTCCACATCCCTCCGGCAAAGAGCACTGGGATCCTCTTGACAACAACTATTAAACCGCGGCCGAAAACCGCAGCAGCTTCCGGTCACCACCCCTAGCACCGCCCCTTCTCGGGGTTTGGGGCTTTACACGAAGGGGCGTGGTTCTGCACATGCGCAAAATCACATTCGAAGCCGCAGTCAGCCAGAGCCAACATGGAGACGTTACGGAGTCTGTGTTTGGTTGCCTTCAGTGCCCCTAGGCAGCATTGTCAGGCGGGGAACATGGCCGCGCCCAGGTTGCGCTTCCTCATGGAGTACGCCATGTTGGAGGAGTGTCCATTCCGTACAGAGGATGAGGAAGCCTCTAAACTCACATTGCTGAGCACTGGCGCTGTCTCACAGGTGGTGGGGAGAGAGGGTGGGGACGTTTCTCTGGGCCGGCATCCTGGGATCTGTGTAATAATGTTCAGAGAAGCTGAGAGGCCTCTGGAAAGACGCAGAGGTGCCAGTGGCTGTTATCTCCTGGCAGATACCACAGGATGAGAAGGAGAAGTAGGACTGCTTGCGGGCCTCTCCTGGAACATACCACGAGGGGAGAAAGGGAAGAAATCAGGGACCTGCAAGCCCTCCTAGGATATAGCCCTGGGGAAAAGGGGGAGGAGTCAGTGTTAGATTACCCTCTGCTGGGCTTGTTGGGGTTGGCTGTGGGGTTTGGATGCTCCCATAGTCTACATTATCTCCCACTCCAGCTACCCGAGCTAAAGTAAAAGTTCTTACCAATAATGGTTTTTGATTTTTCCCTTAATCTAATGCAATATGTCAATAAAAGTATCTTTAGGAAAATTTATTTTTATTTTCTCATAAAATAAAATCTATATAGTAATAGTGCCCTTACTTTGCAAATGTAGCTTTAAGGCAAGATTGATTCTGCCCTTCAACCAATTTGTTGCCCCTTATCACCCCCAATATGGAAATTCTGGAGATGCCTGTGCCCTCTGGGAGATGTTACTGGGGCAGAAGGGGAAGAAGTCATGCTACCCTTCACCTGGGAATGCCTACTTATCTTTCAAAACCAAGTTCAGATATCTCCTCCAGGGAATCTTCCTGAAAGAGGTAGAAGGCTCTGTAACCCTCTGAAGGCCTTTTTGAATCCTCAAGTGAAGAAGGTGTTTTGAGGGGCTCAGGTGTGAACTTGCTGGATGCTCTCAGTCCGGTCACATCCCCTCTGGGCCTCAGTTTAACAATCTGGAATGTAAGGGTGTCCTATCCCAATTAGCCTAAGACCATCTGGGATTAATCTGTAGTCAGACAAATCTATCAGTCAGTGAGGGAGACCACACGCCAGAGGAACCATGGGGTGGCTCACTAAACAAAGGAAAAAATAGAGTTATTATGGAATTCTGAGGAATGGTGACGTTCAGGTGAAATGTGAATGAAGCAGTGTTCTGGTAAACTCAAAGCAAAGCAGGGCTGTATGTGGACTATGAAGTGAACCCAGAATCCTGTTTCCTTGGAAACCATAAAGTTAAGATAGATACAGAATTTTGTATCTAGATACCCCTTCTCTCTGCACTGGGGTTAGAAATCTTAGCTGCGGTGTCTAAGTGACTTATAATCTTCAGCAAGAGTGAGATGTTTTATCTGTACTGATATCACTTCAAACAGCAGTTTCTGATACCCTATGATTGTAGAGAACAGTTTCTCAGTGAGTAAAAAAGCAGTAGTCACTCAAAGTAGGAGTTATTTATGGCATTACAGCTGCAGGACATCCTTGGGAGAAATAATATTTTCTGTTAATTTCGCATCTGACTTAATCTGTGTCTGTTCTCCCAGCCTTATGAGTGGCAGAGCAGACTTTTATACCCTGAGCTAATTTTTACTTTCTTAGAGGGTTGGACTCTCTGATTATCCCAGATTCTCTTTCTGCCCCTATAGCCCTGGTCTGAGTGTTTGTTGAATGAATAAATGAAAGAAGAAATGGAATTAGTGGAAGCATGTTTGGCATGCATACATGTCTAATAGAGCTCCAGGAATCATTGTTAATGTGAGTGTCGTAATAGCACTATGGTTACGTTTTTAAAGAACTAAGTCTGTTAGACTATTTCAGAGAAGGAAAAAAAAAGAGCCAATAAACATATGAAACGTAAAAAATGTTTTGTCAAATTATTGTGGGTATAAAAAAGGTAAAAGTTTTGTCAAATGCTAACTGTAAGCTTGCAACAAAATAAATTCAGAAATAGACATTTGAGATATGAGTGTGAAAGGAATCAAACTTTGGATGGCTTCCTAATAGGAAAAAAGTAACTAGCCTCATTTAGGGGGACAAAGTAATTCCAGATGGACAATTGTTTCATGGAGACTACAGTCTTTGGAGATTATATTCTGAGATAAGTAAAGAAAATTTATGATAATATAGTTGATTTTGCAATATTAATGATGTATAAACAGTCAGTGTGCATTTATTGTGTTCCTGAGGTTGCATAATTGATTGAGTCAAGTGCAAATAAGAGTGCTATTACTTTCCTTTCAGCATGTAAAGTTTTCTTTTCTGCATTGTATCAACTTCATGGCTGTTTTCCTTTGAAGAATAAAAAATGACCAAAAGGAGCCAACATATTCAAGTAGTTAGAGTTGGGGACTGGAACTTTTGTTATGTAAGTTTAATAATATAGTCTTCATTTTATTGCTGGCTCAAAAAAAAACATATGTAGAGATGTTCAAAGTCATCAGCGATCAGGGAAATACAAATAATGACATGATGAGATGACATTTTACACCCATTCAATTTGCAAATATTTAAGTCTGACAGTACAGTGTTGCAGAGGATGTACAGCTACAGGATCTTTTTGCCCTGTTGAAGGAATATAGATCAGTGTAACTACTTTAGAAAATAGTTAGCATTTCCTCCTACAGCGAATATGTACATACCTCACAATCTATCCAGTCCAGTCTTAGGAATATATCCACAAGAAACACTTGCACATGAAACCTAGGATATGCATGGCATCCTGTTCACAATAGCAAGACCTGGAAACAAAAATGGATGGAGTCAAAATGAATGAACTAGAACAGTACCCAACAATAAGGATGAATTTAAGGGAAAAAACAAACCCTGTGATTCCCAAAATAGTATATAAAACATAACACACCTTTATACAATTAAAAGCTACTAATATAAAGAACATGAACTATTTAGGATTTTGTATAGTTGTGATAAAATTATATAAAAAGGAAATAAAAAATTGATGAACTTGGGATTTAGGATGATGCTTACCTCAGCTGAGGGCAGGCAGGGCCATCAATTGGGGGAACACATGGATAGATGGAGGTTATTAAGGCCATACCTTTTCTTTTGGGTGGTAGGTGCATAAGTGCTAATTATATTATTGAAACTAACTAATATTTAAGTTAATTGGGAAAATTAAACTGTTAGATAAACACTTAAATGTAAAAAGAGGAAGTCTGCATGGAGAAAAGTGATGTCCCTTTCTTGAATGGGGTAAGAAAATCTCTGGCTCCAGCCCAGAGATGCCACCCAGTTGTGGGATGAGCAGGGAGGCAGAAGCTCCATGGCATTGATACTTTCTGTGGCCCCTGCCAAAAGTGCTCTGGCTCCAGGGCTCACTCCATCACACCACTCGTGCACCTGCTCAAATGTCCTTTCTTCAGATGTTTTTCTTCCCCGATCTATATCACAACTCTCTAGCTCCTCGCCATGCTTTTGTTTTCTTCATAGCCTTCCTTTTTATCAGAAATTATCTTATTCATTTACTGTTTGCTCATTTCTTTGTTCGTGCTGATACTGCAGTGATTTCTGGTTCTCACATATGTGGAGTAATCAACTGCCTTATTTTTAGTATCTTACCATACATGTAGAGAGCAGCAAAACGCATGCACTGGATTCATTTTCTTAAAAGATTAATTATTCCCTCCTAAAGACTCTGCAGGCATCTCTGGATGACATGACTAATTATAAAATTGTTTTCTAGAGTAATGCAGAAAATACTAGAGATGGAGAACTTCTAAGTATGTAAGACCCTATTCGTTCATTCACCAAATATTTATTGATCACCAGTCACTGCTCTTGGTACTTGTTGTTTGGTAAAACAAAACAGCCCCCAAGTCCCTAGCTTCCTGGACCTGACATCCTAGTGGGGAAGAGAGGCAATAAACACTGTTGAAAGGTGATAACTGCTAAAGAGGGGTGGATAGGGCAGAGTGATGTGAATTGGAAATGCTGGAGGACTGCACTTTAAGTAGGAAGATCAGAGTCTCCTTTTAAACTCTACCACTCACTGCCCTGCATCCTGGAGCAGGCCAGTCTCGAATCCTCACATTTATATGGGCATGTAGTTGAAAACGAGGAAGAACGCAAGGTCAGAATATTTTCATATCTGCAGCTAAGGATGTAATGATGAGTACCTCTTTGCCCTACGGTAGATGCAAGGAGTAATATCCACAGTCTTCTGATCAGTCTTGTCTTGCATGCCTTCCTTTAGTAGGTAAAAAATAGTTTACAATATTTACTGAGCAGGGACCTCTGGACAAACAGCCACAACCATTTACATGTGTCAGCAGATAGAAGGCAATGATAGCTTATTTATTTTACACCCAGCTTTTTAATGGAAAAATTTCACACTATTATTGGGTAATCACAGAGTCCAGCCCTCTGCTGTCCAGAATGTTGAACTGGGGCCCAAAAAGGACGTGACCGGTCTGAGGGCACAAAGACATAGAGAACACCAGAGCTCAGGGCCAGGTCCTTTCAAATAAGACCTGCGCGTCAGAAGGAACTTCAGCTGGCATTGAGCCTCTACCACCGTCAGAGAGGGCTTCCCACAGGACACATGTGAGATGGGTTTTGAAGAATGTGTAGCAGTTCATCCATTGAGGGGATATCGTGGATTCTTCTCACCTCTGCCCCTACGACATCTCCCATAGGGGCAATGGCTTCTCCATAATTTCCATATTTGAGGCCCTAAGGGGCAACAAACTCCTTGTGGGACAGGATTGGAAATTTGTTGTAAGGCTGCACTTGCATAATTATTACTTAGATGTTATTTTACAAGGAAGTATGAATAATTCTAGAAGATGTTTT